TGTGATAACTTACGGTATACGTTGGCTTATAATTAAATTCACAGCGTGGCACAATGTGAAGGGAATGTACAGATGCTGTAACTTGAATTTGCTGAGGCACACAAAAGAGTACTATACACATCAAGAGTGACATATATTATGGTTGAGTGACTGTAGACACACATTTGTCAGTCTTGCTCCCTACAGGATTTGTGTATTGCTTCTTTAAATTCATCAAGCATGCAGTGAGGAGACATGTGTGCTTCCTCCAGCAGTCCTTCTCCATCGTCTCCCCTGGTGATGCCTTTTTGGAATAGAGACGTCCTGTCCTTTGTGAGGGTGCACCAAGACTATTTTTCCAGGTCAAGGGGAGGAGGACAGAGGACAGAGGAGATGAGGAGGCTGGAATTAGTGAAAACGATGAGCCTTCCATAAAGCCTTGACTGGCTGAAGGAAGAAAAGGCTGAAGTTGTTGTGAGAACAGTCTCTCCCATCTCTTAAAACGCCTTCAGAGGAGTCATAGGTGTCTTGGTGGCCTCCCTCACGTGTCGACTTCTTGCAGAGTTACTCAGTTTTGAGGACGGCCTGCTGTACATGTCATATTCCCTCCATTTTTTAATGATGGATTTAACTGTACTCCGAGGGATGTTCACTGACTTCAAAATTTTCTTGTATCCGTCCCCTGGCTTAAGCTTTTCGAAAGCTTTTTCACAGACTTGCTAGGAGTGTTCTTTTGTCCTCATGGAGTACTGATTCACCAGTGACTGGACCTTCCGCATACAGGTGTTCACATACAGGTGTCTTTATACTACAATCAGTGCACCCACATCATCTCTATGTCACTAATTATCAGACTTTCAGCACCAACTGGCTGCACCTGTGTTGAATTAAGCGACTGTAAAGGGGGTGAACACTTCTGCAATCATTTATTTTTCCTTTTTTTAGACATGGTAGAAATCTGTTTTCACTTTGGCATGAAAGTGTCTTGTTTTGTACGTTCTTGTTGACAAATTTAATTGACCATGACTTAGTGTTGAAAAGCTATTTATAAAAAGGGGAACCCTCCAAGGCCGGCGAAAGCTTTTAATAGACACTGGAGCTGCTTCAGTGTCAAGGCCCTGGTATCACCACCTGTGCTTTTTCATGCTTGTGGAGTCAAAACGCCTGCTGTAAAAAGATCAAATAAATAACTTTCAACACCATCCAACTGGCTGACTTGCAGAAGAAGCATTTGTCCTGCACTTGTACCTACAATTCAGTCAACTGGCCGTCTACTGTGGCTTTATTGGTTGATTTCACTCAACCAATGAGATCATTTTTGTTTGTCATAGAAGTTTTTTTTTTAGGAATATACCTGTGATCCATACTTAAGGTGTCTCCCTGATGTTTTGGTGATTGTTAACAAAGCATGTTCACAGCTGCCTCTTGCAGGAGCACCAACAGCATTTGTTTTCACTCTTCTATTTGCATTGTCTCTTCAGCAGCTAAATGTTCCAATCTTCACTTAAAGGCTGTCTTATAAAGGAAGTCCAACATAGCCAGGATTGCTTTGTGTTAGCTGATTTGACAAATCCCAACATCCCTGAGATAATGGCTCTCTAATGTCAGGTTTTCCATTTTGTTTTTGTTAACAAGGTTTTCTTCATCAGGTTTTGAGTGCACTCCAATAAAACCAATTATCCAACTCCAAATAATTCATCAAATTAACCTTCATTCATTTGAACACAATGTTGAAGAAGCACATTTAGGTCTGTATTAAACCCAAAATAAAGGCCATTTGGAAATCACTGATTTGGGCCAAATCATAGTGAAATTAAAGTAACTGAGCTAATATTCTCGGTAATAAACACCAAGTGTTCTATTAGCTGCAGTATAAAACAGACTTCACAGCAAATCAGCACCAAGCAATAGAACATATTTGTGCATTTTCTGCGTCACCAACTGAATGTGTGTCGGTTTCCACGGCTACCTGACACATACAGTCAGCTGTAACTGCACGGCTTCATTTAGTAGGATTACTAATGAATTGTTGAGTGTACATAGCTCATAGAGAATGTGGTCAGGAAAAGAGGTGGTGAAAGTGTGGCGCTTCATACAGGCGATTTAAATCCCAAACTCTGAACAGATTAGCAGGTTAGGTGTGCAGCATCAGTTACCATGGTGATCTAGCAGGTTAAAAGACAGCCACCGTGGCTCAACATACCTCGTTAACCTCATTTGGAAGTACACCCCTCCGTTAGTTACTGTGGCTGAAAATAACACAGATGAGAGCCGTGAGAGTGAACCACAACATTAAAGGTGCAGACCGCAAAACCAAAACGATGCGCTGAAAGTCACTTCATGTAGATGACCAACACTGCAGAGCTGCACGATCATTTTCTGTGGTTTTGTAACTATGAGCAACAATCTTTTATATGCACATGCTTATTTCATCTTTTGTTATTTGGAAGATATTGATTGGTGCAGCTTTAAGTTACGTCTAGTAGGTATACATAATTTAAAGAAATACGTAGTTTATTACAGCAGCCCTGCAATAGAAACCATTAGATACACTCCTCAGTTTAGTATGAGGTGTTTTGAATATTTTGGCCAATATCGATCGGCATAAAGAGGCACAGTAAAGCTTTACAGCCTCCAGAGTGACCATATATTTGAATCAATACCTTTCTGGAACAGTTTCAGTGAACACTCAACATTATAACCTTCACAAAAACAGGATTTTTGAGCAGGACTGCTGCATCAGACAACATTCATTTTTGGCTTGTTGGGTCTAATAAACTAGAAATTGAGTGAGCATCTTTAAAAAATATCATTATTGGTTTTTCTTTCCTTCAGAAATCGTAATCATTTCTGCAACACCGGCCAGACGTTGAGGTTTGTATTTAAAATAACAGACCCCGCAAACAGATTTCCGCAGAGCTGTTCATACTCCACCGCAGGTCAGACCAGGACACCTCCTCCTCCATGTCTGCATGGCATGTTTACAGCCAGATTTCATTTCCATAATGATGATTAACGTGAAACATTCACACTATTTGCGCCTTGTACACCATTTCCTGTCCACATCGGTTCACCCAGGGAGCTGTAACTCTTATCACACTCGCTCTCTCCATCTCCCTGTAATTGCTCTATCAATCCAGTGAAGGAAGAAAAAAAAAAAAAAACAAGCAAAAAACCCAAATGAACTGCCCCGCGCTGCGCATGCACAGCTCATTTAGCTCCCAGCGTAATGAGAGCTGTTGCGTAAAAGCACAATCAATTTCTAATGTGCTAGTTTACAGCACCCACCAGACTGACAGCCGAGTCAATACACGACAAGAAGTTTAATGGTGTTTTTAGGAGCAACAGTCTACAGCGATGCATGATGGGAGAAAACAGGACTCGAAAAGAGCGCCTGGAGCGGCTGGGAGCAATGAGTGTGTCAAAACTGCTCAGAGGAAATTGGCAGGAAGAGATGGAGGAGAAGGGATGGCTGGGAAGAAAAATTAAAGGTGACTCAGTGATGAAGGGTTTTAGTGTTAAATAGAGAAGTCTGTCAGCATCGAATCACAAACACAAGACGTGCGCGCAGTCTACTTCATTATAAGTCACTACTTGGGCAGCAATAAAGATACATTAACTATTATACACACGTATTTTAAAGAATAAAAGCATGAAATCTTTACAGTGTTAGCGAATACACCCTCTTGCAATAACACATTCCCCCCC